GGTTCTATTTGCCCACGGAGGCTGCTGAGTCTCAATATGAGCAAGTGCTGGAAGCTCTTCAGTAGAAATATGAGCAGATGGCCATACAGAGGTTGACCAGATAGAACATCAACTATCTGTGTAATCTCACCCAGGACAATGGTAGAGTTGGAGATATATAAAAAGGTGAAAGACACTAAAATACAGTAGAAAAAGCATCAACGTTGATATAAGACAGACTCATGTCAAGCCTTTGCTCTACCACTTGTATCTGTTTGACCTTGAACAAGGTACTTTATCTTTCTATGTACTAACTCCTTTATTTGTGAAAGAAGCAAAATGCCCAGATCACGGGCTGTTCTGAGGATTAAATAGGATAGCACATGAAAAGGCCTTGACATAGTGCCTCTTCCCTGGTGACTCAGAGGGTAAAAAGAATCTGCCTGCAACGCAAGAGACTCAGGTTCAATCCCTGGGAAGTGAAGATCCCCTGGAGAAGGGAATGGCTACCCACTCCAGTATTCTTGCCTGGTGAATTCCATGGATAGAAGAGCTTGACAGGCTATAGTCCATAGGGTTGCAAAGAGTTGGACATGACTGAGTGACTAACACTTCCACTTTCATCAAGCAAGCCATAAATGAGAATTCCCTTTCCTGTTTTCTCCCTAGAGTAGAAAGTTAAAAGATGTATTTGAGTATGGTGGAACGTTAAAGTGAGCTAAAAACCATGGTCTCGTGTGAAATTCTACACAATTCTATTCACCTGTTTTACGCAAAACTGGATTGGTATTTGAGATGGGATAGTTTCTTTTTTCTTGCTATTTATTCCAAGTTGGATGCAGGTCTGGTATTCATGACTAAGAGATTTCCAAACTGCTAATAGGAACACCAACAGAAATGCAAGCTGTCTTTTGGGCATAACATTGTAACTCTTTCATTTAACACAGAACTGCTGAGGAAAGATCACCAAGACCACTAGTTGCCCTTGAGGGCACCAGCAATTTTGGTCAGTCTCACCATGTACAAGTATGGTCTAATTGGTCAGTACTCACTGATCCAGAAATCTCTCTGGGGATCGTTTTTCACTCTTTCAGAAAACGATGGACACTGAGGTTTGCTCCTCAAGAGAAAGTAACAGACCTATTGATTTAACATTGATGCCTATAAAAATAGTTTCAATAGCTTTTCAACAAGGTAGATCAATCACTACTTGTTCCTCCCCAACTAGGTCAAGGTTCTTTCTATAAGAACAGGTGGTTGTTCAATCTCCCACCAAGCAGCTCTTTCCATATTTTGCCAGCTAGCTTCAAAAGTGGTCATTAAATTGAATAAACATTGACTCTTCCCACAACTGTGTTCTTCAGACCTCATTCACTCCTCTGGACCAACAACGTCTGACCTTTATCATATTTTTCCCTTAATTTTCCCCCAATCACTTCTCCATTCAGGAAACAAAGAGGCCAGAACCTTGATTCTTGCTTGAAGACATGTAGATGGGAACAATAAAAGTAGTTAAACAATCACAGAAGAAACTAGAGAGAGTGTCTTAAGAGTAGAGACTCCTTGTCCTGGAAAAGTACTTTATGGAATATTGCAGAGGATGGTAACTTACATGTTCCCATATCCCCAGAGAACAAAAAGAAGAAATGGTGGGGTTAGGGCAAGTTTCTAACTTACAGATGTTGACAAATAAATCCCCTTCTTTCTTCTAGAAGGGGATCTAGTACTTGATCACAGAAATGTTTGTGTGTGAAGCATAGATACGAGTATTGTGTGAAACACATTTTAGGAAATTATGGTTTCAGATGTGCTGCAGAAACTTAGACTAGACTTTGGAAATAACTTCCTGATTGATGGTCAGATCCTGGAACTGGTGGCCAAGGAACACGGTTTCCCTCCATGGATGGTTGGTAGATTCTTCCTCTCTCTCCTTACCTCTCCCTTTAATATCAGCACTAGGCATCCACCTACCTGGGAATATCGACACAGGGGATCTGGGGGTCTAGACCCATCCCATCGCCAGAATCTATTTTTATGGATCCCAGTCATGGTAGTGTTCCATGGAAGATGCAGCCTAGCTAGGACAGGAGGTAACTAAGGGTTTTGGCTAAGAGGAGAGGGGGCTAGAGATGGGAAAAGTTGATGCAATTATTTTTGGCAGGAGTTGGAACCAAAGCAGCAGGAGAGAGTAAGTTTTAAGACTCTCTGGCAAGGCAACTTCCTAATCTGTCACTGGGTATGTGTAAAAAGTGATTAGTGGGTCTCTATATTTATCGTGATTACTCACAAATATGTAATTTACATAATATATACAGCACATTAAGTACTATGTCACCTTATATAATGTGCATATGTATAATGTATATGCATGTTATGTAACGCCAGTCTGGAGGCTCTTCCAGATTCTGCCAAGTATTTCCTAATTTATTTGGCAATTTCAACATATCTTTTCCATCTGTGGAAAGAACTCTCTTGAGAGGAGCTGGTCTCTGACCTGAAATATAATCGTTCTACCAAATCTATCTCCATTCTCAACTCACTGGAGGAAATCTACAAAGACCGAGTTACAATGAGATGCAACACCTCATCCATTAGTCCAGAGACACAGAATGTATTGAAGATTTCCTGTTTCATTTTTATTGCCAGAGGGATAGAAGTGTGTGGGGGCAGGTGGAGAACATGTCTGTGCACGGTCAGAATCAGATAAGATGAGGAATAAGGGAGGATTTCCCCCTGACTGCCTAATTTTGAGAAGTCACTAAGTTATATTAAGCCTTGTTTTCCTCATTATTTAGATGGGGTTAATAATACCTTCTCTGTCAACCTCAGGGGTTGCTGTGAAGAGCACTATGATGAGGTACTCCACAGTTGGAAACCACAGTCCCACTAGTTAAAAGATGAGTTGCAAAGTCAGATTAAACAACATCACTAGACTTAGGTTACAAAATTGAAAGTACAATTCCACCAACATTTGTTATACTCTGTGGTTTTAAGGAGGACATGGGACGTGTCTCTCAAGCAACATTGCCAGTCCTGTGCACCCGAGTGGGCAGGCAGGGCCAGTCTCTGATGGGTGAATCTCTGAGGATCAGTCTCATCTGTTGACAACAGTGCAGCGTCTCAACAGCCTCAGTCTTGGGGGGTTGGGGCTGAAGCACATGTAATAACTTCTATAAATGTCTTACAATCAGTGACCTCCAAACTGAACCTGCCTTCATTTCAGAAGCAAGTGGCTTCCAAGAGTACCCGCTGTCATTCTGGAGCTTGTTGGTCCCATCCCAAGGAGCCCATCATTCAGGACATTCTTCAGGGGTTTCCCTTTGTCTGCTGTTCCGTGCTGTTAGGTTGAACAAGATGGTTCTAGATCTCTTATCTGAGGCGGTCCTAGATGACTGCTTCCTTCAGAGTTACGAACAGTTTGTACATACAATCTTAACTTTCCCTTTCTTGCACAAAGTTCCTGACCCAGTGCGAGGAGATGAGAGGGAGTTTAGTGGGGTGATGCCAAGTGGCTCCAGGTTTGCTTTTTAGAAATCTCAGAGGGGATAGGGGACAAGGTGAATATTTCTTTCTACCAACGAAGCTCTCCTCAGGCTTGCCCTTGGGGAAGGCAGTGATGCTGGTGCCAGTGGAATGAAGCCCTCTGAGCTCTGCCGAGACCCCTCTGGTCACTGGCTGGCAGTTCCTGGCTGAAGGTGCCTTTGTCCTCCTTGTGCCTCTCTGCTGAGGTCATCCCTGCAGCCAGGAGTGTTTCCAGATTTAAGGGACTATGATGATGTGACACGTGGAGAGTTTAATCTGTAATACTGACCAGGTCAGGGCTTCCCCAGTGGTTAAGCAGCAAGGAATCTGCCTGCCAATTCAGGAGATGTGGGAGATGCAGCTTTGATCCCTGGGTCAGGAAGATCCCCTAGAGGAGGGCATGGCAACCCGCTCCGGAATTCTGGCTTGGAAAATCCCATGGACAGAGGACCCTGGTGGGCTACAGTCCACGGGGTCATAAAGAGTCTGACACGACTGAGCATGCATGCACACACTGACCAGCGCAGGCTTGAGAGAATCTCCAGCAAGCATGGCGAGGCCCTCATTTTCTCACATGGGCTTGTCCCGTCCACATGTGTCCCACGTGTTCATTCCTCCCTGGCAACCCGGATCTAAATGGAATCACTTCTCAGTGACCAGAAATGACCCTAATCCAAGGTGTGTAGGTTCTTTTCTCTACTAAGTATCTTTTTAGCGGCATCGAGTCCCAAACCATTTTAGCCAAGCTACCACGGACAAGTTTCTTAACTTTTCTAGGATTCAGTTTCCTTATTTGACAAATGAGAAAGTAAATCCTGCCCCCCATAGCTTTCATAGTTGTTTTGAGAAGAGAAATTCTCAGTCTCTTTATAAGGAGATACTTCAATTTCCCTTGAATCCTATGACCACCAGGGAAAAATGTGTCTTGACAATGAAATGGCAGAAACAAGCATTTCTTTTTCTTTCCCACTTTCAATTCTTATACTGCATATTTTTTTTTCAATTAGGAAAAATCCATCAGTAAATAAATATATATATATATATAAATATATATATGCTACATATATGTACACACACCAAAGACCTGCAGAAGGGTCTTCAGGTCGTGCTTTGGGAGTGGCAAGTGCAAAGAGGCAGGAGGGAAACGCCTGAAGGCTTGTCTCCTGGTCTCCTCAGTGAAAGGCCCTTCCCTCCCATCTTCTTTGCCTTCAGGAATAGTCTGCCACCAGGCCTTGGAACTCAAACAGGAAACACGCTTTGGCTTGAAAAAGAAAGAAGCTGGGGGTGTTTTTTTTTTTTTTTTTCCCTCTTCCCTTTTTACACAATATTATGACACCGATTTAAAAAATAAATCCCAGTTTCTCTGCTTTCCCTCCCAGGTGTTCACAGAACTAAGAAAATAAATACCACATCTAAGGTGTGCTCTGCACACAGCTCTGCGGGCCCTTGGAGCCGGCTCTAAACAAGCACACAGCCAGCAGAAGGCTTCGGGAGAACCACTAGTGCCCACTGACAACGTGCAGAACCAAGAAGGGAAACACAGCTTTCCACAGCCTTTCTGCCTCCTCAGCTAGTTCAGGGAGAAGCTTGAAGGACAACTGAGAGACCAGCGTGCAGGTGCCAAGCCCTGCCAAGGGCTGCGCTCTGAGAGTCCGAGGCCGTCCTGTCTCCGCACAGAGGGATCTTTGTGTGAGTTTTCTGGAACATGGGCTCTTTTTCTTGGCCACATCCGACCTCAGCATAGGCAGGAAACCTGCAGCCTGCTCCTTGCAAGCGGCCATGAGGAAACTTGCAGGGCTGGTGGAAAAAAAGCGGGGTTTCTCCTTCAGTCTCAGAAAGTCCCACTCAAGGCCTTCTGGGAAAGTGAAGCTTGCTGCAAGAGCTAGCCACACCCTGGAGAATCCCAAGTCCATTCAAAATGTCCCACTGGCACTGGCTCTGTGGGGATGCATCCATGGTTGAAACAGAATGGATGAAGCTTTCTTCCTGAAGGGTGGCTTGGCTTCCATTGGTTGGAGAAGAGTATGGTGTCTGTGTGTGTGCATGTGGATGTGTGCATGTGTTTCAGTTTCTTGTCTTCTCTCTTGTTTGAACTGGTGTTGGGCACAGTGTCTAGTCCTTCGAACGGCTCTTCCTCCTCAGCGAAAAGAAGCTGCTCTTCTGAGGGGGCCCCATCATCATAGGCGCTTGGTTCTTATGAGTAATTTTAATCTAAAAGCAAAGAGGGAGAAATGAATTAGTGGCCTGCAAACCCCAGGAGCCTATGGGAGAGTGACTTGCAGAGAGAGGAAGGGAGGCCAACTTCGAGCTGGAAGGAGCCCCACGCAGAAGGACGACTGTCCTTGAACAGCTTCACAACTGGCAACTGGACCCTGAATGGTGCTGGAAGCAAGGGGCGGAAACGCTGGAGAGAGACAGGTGTGAGCTTCCCACGTGGCGATCAGCTCGCACCTGTCCTATGTCCTTGGCTATTCATAGACTCAGAATGTCACAGCCGGAGGAGACCTCAGGGACCAACTCAATCAAGCCATCTGTAGAACAGATAAAGGAATGGAGACCCCCAAGGCTCTGCTGAGCCTCAGATTAGCCTAAGTTGCACAGAGAGGGGCAGAATGGCCAGAGTCCTGCTCTTCCAGTTCCCAGTCTCCCCTGTTCCTGGCCATTCCTGCCCAAGCATACAGAAACATAAACCAGGAACTCTGAACTGACCTAGGATCTTGAATTTGACCTCTGAACCAATTGCCACTCCTGTAGATAGTTTAAAAGTGAGTCTTAGGCATTTCCTCTTTTCTTAGTCTTCCAGGGGAGAACCAACTTTCTCATAAAAGCTTTCTTTCTTTTTTTTTTTTACTTTTAGGTTTAATGAGTGTTTTCTCCTGCAAACTTGAAGTTTGCAATTGGAAGTAAAAGAAACTGGTGAAGTCTTTTTTTCTCTTTCTTGCCAAACTTACCTTTACAGCGTGGCTTCAAAATGCTTGGTACCTATTTGAATGTGGCCTAGTGACACTGATACGTTGATAATCTACACTCTCGGTCTATCAACATTTATCAAATAGGAAGATGATGTGGGAACAAGAGGCAATTAGGATTCAAAGACCTGGATTTGGGTCTTAGAACTCCCCCTTCTTTGCTGTGAACTTTTGGACAAATCATTTAGCCTTCAAAATCAGTGCTTGCTGAACTGTAAAATGATAGTAACATTTGCTCTAGTTTCCTCACAAAGTTGTTGTGAAGATGAAATGACAGTCAATGAAAACCCAGTGTAAACAATGGAATGCACCAATTAAAAACTTACCTTATACCGGAGAAGGAGAAAGATGTATGTCAAACAGAATCTGGACACCAAGAGGGAAAAGGGAGGGGTTATGATGAATTGGGAGATTGGGACAGGCATATATATACACCACTATCTATAAAATAGATAACTAATGAGAACCTACTGTATAGCATAGGGAACTCTACTAAGTGCTCTGCGGTGACCTAAATGGGACGGAAATCCAAAAAAGGGGGAGTGTGTGTATACACATGGCTGATTCACTTTGCAGTATAACACTGTAAAGTTGTACAACACTGTAAAGCTACACTGTACTCTAATAAAAATTAATTTAAAAAACTATCAAGAAGAAACAATCTATGAACCTACTCTCAAGGTTTTTACCACCTATTCAAACGACAGTGTGATCCCAGAGAAGAAGGGCTCTTGAAGAGACAGACTCATCAACATGTTTAAATGAATGTAGGATAAACCAAGTGGTGTCAAAAAGAAGGTTCAGTAAGGAATGAGAAGAATCTGAATGCAGCAACTGAGGAAGCATTTTAAGATCTGAAAGGAAGGGAAGAAGATATATTGGTGAGAGAGAAAGGGAAAGCACTAGGTTGAGGGGCTACATACCAACTGGTTGAGTGTGGACCACAGGATGAGAAGTGAAATCGATACAGGAGGGACGGCTGGGGTAGGGCTTTACAGGGGAGGTGGCAGAGACTGGGTTTAATATGAGGTAATGGGAACCAGGACAACTTTTTAAGCTGGAGAATTCACGAGGAAAAAAAAAAGGCTTGAAAGGAATTATTCAATAGCTGTTGTCAGGATGAGCTGGAGTCGGGGAGAGTCTGGCTAAGAAGTTCTACTGCGAGCTGGATTTAAATTTATAAGGCCCCAGGTTATGAAAAGAAAGAGATGGGACCAAAAGACACTGTGGAGAATGAGCTTAACCTGAGGGAAGGAAGCTTGAAATGACTGTTAGGTTGGTTTCCACCAGCCTGGAGATGTAGGAGGAGAGTAGTGAGTCTCTCTGTTTTGGGGTGGTCCCCAGGGGAGCACACCAAGGACACTTCAAGCATCATTTTGCATTCCGTGCCAGATTATGGGTATCGTCTTTATCTCAGAATTCGGGGAAGTGAGGTGCAGATGACAGGGGGCCCTGATAGTAGTTATCTGTGGCATGCAATTTAGCCCCCGCTGATGATTTGTGGCACATTTCATTGTGGTAAAGTCTTTTCTCACTCTCTGAGGGGAAAAAGAAATTCATCCTATTCACCTTGGCATTCCCTGAGAAAGCATAGGACTGGTACCTGCTATGGAAGTACTGACTAGTTAGCCCAGCCAAGAAGAATGAGGGCTATCCTGTCAGTGGAGCTGGATGTGCTTGGGGCAGAGCGGCAGCTGGTGCACTGCTTACATTTCCCGCTGATGGAGCCCGTTTTTTTAAGACCATAGAAGACCTTTGCTTCTCCTTTTTTTCCCTCTAGCTGACCAATTTATTTGCTTGTTAGCACCTCCTGGGCAAAGGGGAGGAAGTGAAACTTAAATCCCTCCCATTTGGGTTTTCAGCAGTTTTGAGAAATGTCTTGATAAGGTAGGAGTTTGGAGAATCTGGGTAATGTGAGGTTTTGACGAGGTTTGTGGATTCTAGTACTACAGAGGTGAGAGGTTAATATATAGACATCCCTTGGTATCCATAAGGAATTGGTTCTAGGACCCCTGTGGATACCAAAATCCACGGATGCTGGTTTTATACAAGTCCTTTATGTAAGATCGGTATAGTATTTGTGTATAACCTATGCACATCCTGTATCCTTTAAGTCATCTCTAGATTACTTATAATACCTAATGCAATGTAAATGCTATGTAAATAGTTGTAAATACAATGTTAATGTTATGTAAATAGTTCCCAGCACAGAGCAAATTCTAGTTTTGCTTTTTGGAACTTTCTGGAATTTTTTTTCCTGAATATTTTCTATTCAAGGTCAGTTGCATCCAGGATGTGACGCCCATGGATGTGGATGTCTGGATTGTATAATGGCATTTTCCCAAACAGGCAATTTCTTGGCTAACATATGTTAAACAGTCCATTACTTTCAAATTAGTTTACGATCTTTTTTTTTTCCTTCACTACCTTTTATATACACTAGAGTTTCTTAGTGCTCTCTTCTGTATTATTGATTTACCTATCCAACATTGGGCCAATTATTGTAGCTATATAACTATTTTAATATCTTGTGGGAAGTTCTTCACAGCTCTTTTATAAAATGCCTTAGCAATGGCATTGTTTTGTCAAGTTAAAAAATTGCATTGGAATTTTGTTTGGGGGGGTCCCTTTTAGAAATATGGGATGTGTCTAATTTCAAATCTTTAAAAGAATATTAAGTAAGCCTTGCAGCCTTCTTCATCTATTTTTCACAATTTGTCTTGGTATTTTGCTTTTGTTTGTTGCCATATAATATTTCAGCTTTTTTCTATTATGTTCTTCTGACTGGTTATTGCTTGTATATACAAAAGCTGTTAACTTTTGTTTCTTTCTATATAGCTTCACTGAAATAATTTAACCAATGAAGTTTTCAGCTGATTTTATTAGATTTCTTTTATATATACTATCTACAAATAATGACAGTTTTGAGTCTTTTCCAAAGAGTTATCTAACCTCTTTTCTGCTTCACGTGTTTGGCACTGGTTAGAATGTCCAAACAACATTAGCATATGTCTTATCCACAATTTTAATGAGAATTCTACTACTGTTTTACATCAAGTTATTGGTTTAAGAGACATTTTATTTTGAGGAAGTATCTTCCTAATCTGAGTTTTGCAAGAGTTTCTAATCTTTAAAAATCAGAAATGTTGAATGTGATTGAGTACTTTGGGTCATCTATTTATATTACCATGTAATTTTTCTATCTAAACTTCTATTAAGGAGACTTCCTTAGGGAAGGGAATTAACATCCTGCTACACACCAAGCCCATTAATATGCAATACAGTATTATTAACTATAGTTACTCTGCTGTATGTTACATCTTCAGGACTCATTTATTTTATAACTGGAAGTTTGTACATTTTTACGCCATTCACCCATTTCACTTACCTTCCCTTCCCTGCTCCCACCTCTGAAAAACTATCAGTTTGTTCTCTGTACCTCTGAGCTTGTTTTTTTAAAATCCAAGTTTTAAGTCATCTATTTTTTTTTTTTTACAACTTGACCTCAAAGACAGAAACAAATATTTTAAAGCCTCTCAATAACTGTCTTTCTGTAAGTTCTTATATACATATATATTTCAGAATATACTACATCTATACAGTTTTTCACAGTATAAATTTTGATTCTATTATCAGACAACTAAATTTTTATGACCATTAGATCTCAAAATTGAGTGTAATTTTTATTACATTAAAAGTGACCTTCTTTATTCCACTTTATGCTTTTGGCATGTTGGAAGGTTAGTTTGCCCCAAATTATCATATCTTATTTTTAATTTCTCTATGCTTGATAAAGGATAAGATAAAAAGATATGTCTTTTTGCTTTAGATGTATCTCTTTACAAGAAGTGTATCAATGTATTTTAACCCAATATGGGAGTTTTGTTTTTCTAATAGGGAACATGAGCACATTTATGGTATTTTGTTGTTATTGATATATTTAGTCCTAACTTCTTTTATCTTAATCAAAACATTTAAAATATTTGCTTGTTTTTCTCTTTTTTGTGCTACACTGATAGGGTTCATAAAATTTAAATTCTCCCAGATTCAGAAGGTGTCAACCCTGTTTTTTAGGTTCAGTAGTAATTATCTAGTTACTAAATTTTTCTTCAGATTTACATTGTTTAATTATCAAAGTGAGGTGACTTATCAATTATCAAATTTAACATACTTTTACTGTTCCTTCAACAATGTCTCCCATATGCTTTCAGTTTTGGTGAAAATAACTTTAGGTTTGGAATCCAAGTTACGAATGTTTACACTATCTTCTCTTTCAAAGAATGATTTTTGCCATTTGGATTTAGTTGCATAATCATATTTAACAGTTTTTTTCTTCATTCTAATTTGTTGTTGTTCAGTCGCTCAATCATGTCTGACTCTTTACAACCTCATTAGGCTACAGCACGACAGACTTCCCTGTCCTTCACTATCTCCTGAAGTTTGTACAAACTCATGTCCATTGAGTCAGTGATGCTATCTAACTATCTCATCCTCTGTCACCCCATTCTCTTTTTACCTTCAACCTTTCCCAGAAGCAGGGTCTTATTTCCAATGAGTTGGCTCTTTATATCAGGTGGCCAAAGTATTGGAGCTTCAGCTTCTGTATCAGTCCTTGCAATGAATATTCAGGGTTGATTTCCTTTAGGATTGATTGGTTGGATCTCCTTGCAGTCCAAGGGACTCTCAAGAGTCTTCTCCAACACCACAATTCAAAAGCATCAGCTGAACACTCAGCCTTCTTCATGGTCCAACTCTCACATCCATACATGACTACTGGAAAAACCATAGCTTTGACTATATGGACCTTTGTCAGCAAAGTGATGTCTCTGCTTTTTAATACTCTGTCTAGATTTGTCATAGCTTTCCTTCTAATTTAACTGGTTTTAATTTTTATCATTCTTTTGTTGCTGTGATGTCCTATCATTAAGCCTTCAATTCTGAATCACTTCACAGTTACTAGGTGCCTTCATTCAGGAAAACATTTCAAAAAGGGTGTTTTAACTTTTGGAAGTTTAAGAAGGATTTCTGTTACCTTCTGCTATGGACTGAATTGTGTCCCCTTCCAAATTCATATGTTGAAGCCCTAATCCCCAGTGTGACTACATTTGGAGATACGGCCTTTAAGGAGGTGCTTGCATGCTCAGTCATTTCTGACTCTTTGCCACCCCATGGAATGTAGCCCACCAGGCTTCTCTGTCCATGGGATTCTCCAGGCAAGAATACTGGAGTGGGTTGCCATTTCCTTCTCCAAGGGATCTTCCCAACCCAGGGATCAAAACTGTGTCTCCAGCATTGGGTTCTTTACCACTAAACCAACAGGGAAGCCCTTTAAGGAGGTAAATAAGGTTAAACGGAATCATAAAGGTGGGGCCCTAGTCCAATAGGACTTGTGTCCATATGAGAATAGGAAGAGACATCAGGAGTAAATGCACACAGAGAAAAGGCCATGTGAGGACATGGTGAAAGAGCTTCCGTCTGCAAGTCAGGAAGACAGGCCTCACCAGAAAGCAACACCTTACTCTTGGACTTGGAGGCTCTAGATCTATGAGAAACTATGCTGTTTACACCACCCAGTCTGTAGTATTTTGTTAGGGCAGGCTGAGCTGACTAACATACCTTCACATATGACTGTACACCATAAAATCATTGGGTTTTATTTATTATTATTATTTTTTTCATAGTAAGTCGTAATGTCTGAAGGGTGGTGTGAAGAGAGAGCAGGGATAGGAGGAATATTTATCTACCTTAAAACCAGTATTTGGATCTGGAGGAAAGACAGTCCAGTTTCTAGTATCACTGAGCTAGGTAGCCAAGGGTTTGCTTTCTTCCAGCTTTTTCTTTTTTCCTTTTAGGAGACAGGAGGACTTTGGATAGAGTTTTCTTAATTCAATTCCATCAAAATTATAAATAGTACAAATTCCCTCCATCCTTCACAACTAGAACAAGGCAGTAAGATATTATTAGATTTTGGTATAGTGTATTCATCCTTTTCTTAGACTTCATAGAAACCAAAAGATGGAGGTAAGATTTTACAGAAAAAGTTCTACTTTTGATATCTTTTATAAAAGATGCCAGTTTAAAAAGTCTTTTTCTCTAGGGACTAACTTTGCAATTTGTAGAAGTTACACAGAGCAAAGAATTATAGAAATAAACCTACAATTCAGGCCCAATAGAATTCAGGCCCAGTAGCTATCTCATGAAAATCCTTTCTCTAGTAGAAGATGAACTGATGTTCTGAAGGGCTCCAAATAGCAGGTTCTCAAGGTATCTGAATACTCCACCAGAGTGAGGAAGCTCAGAAACACAAGTTCTGTCTTTTGAGATTCGCACACTCACAACAGTATTGAGGATGTTGCTAACATCATATTTCAGTCAGCACCCTGGGCTCTAAACACCAGGACAGTGGTTTCTCTTTGCCATAGAGAGTCTAGTTGGGTTTCTGAGAACAAACTGCTAACAAACTGGTAAGGCAGGGAATGGGGTTGTTCCCTTTATTTTTGCTTGTTCATTTGTTCAATCCTTTATTCATCTTTCAACAAATATTATTGTGCAACTATTACAAAACAGGTACAGTTCTAGGTGCTGGGTAATACGGGTCACAGAAATGCCATAAAGGTAACAGATAACCCATGAGGTTACACTTTTAGGGGAGTTTTCAGGTGATTCCTCAGGGTTGTGGGGACATCTCGGGTGCAGCATGCCTGTGTATTGTGGGGATTCTTCCCCAGGAGCCCAGGTGGTCATAGTAACTAGGTGGAATTCTAAGGTCAAGCATGCAGATTTTGCTTCACATAAGGAAGCACTTTCTAGTAATTAGGCTTGTTCATTAGTGGAACAGTCTTCCTTTTGGGGTCTAAGTTCCTTGCCACTAGAGAAATTCAAGCTGAGGCTCTCAAGAACACTGTAGATGAAGCCTCAGAGTTCACCTAGAACTATAAGCTCCTTGAAGACAGGTCTATGTCTCCTTTGGTTTTGGAACTGGTGCCTCCCTTGGGCTTGGCTCATAGAGCCTAATCAATAAACGCTCAGCAGATAAATGAATGGACGGATGAACTAAGTGGGAGAGAAGCTGTGCTGAATGATTTCCCAAAGCCCGTGTAACTCAGAGACTCAGAATTTCATATTAAGTCAGTGCTCCAAAGGGATCCCAAACAAAACTTCTCACCCTCATCTCAAAGATGGGCAAAACTCACCGTGCATGGTGGTTGCATCCAGGGCTCTCCATCCACTTGCATTGGCAGCAGCTTGTTTGTCCTGGAGACCGGAGAACAGAGAGAGCACAGTGGGCTTCTTGGAGTTGGAGAATGAAGGGTGTCCTCACCAGGGAAACAGAAGTGGCGAGTGGAGCCACCTAGGAGTGGTTCTGAAGACTCCTGGGGGGCTTGTTGAAAACAGATTTCTAAGCTCACCTCAGGGGTCCCAATGGGGCAGGTCTGGGTCAGGCCTAGGGGTCTGTGTTTTCATAAAAACTATGGACAACTCTTGCTCTGGTCCTCAGACTCTATTTTGAGAAACATGGCCCTGAGTGGGCAGTGAATTCCACAGGAGTCTGGGGAGAAGTGGGCAACAAGTATGGCAGCACCATATCTAAGTAGACCCCTAGGCAAACAACCAGCCAGAGGGCTTGCCCGTGGTGCCAAAAACTCCACTGTGAAAGGGTAAAGGTTATGAAATAGGGAAAGGCCTGGGTTCTATGTTGAGTGAGCAGTTGCATAATGTCAATGAGGTAATGTCTCCTACTTATACGAGGCACAGCTCAGGTCTGAGTGTGTCTTGCCTTGCCCCCAATCCTCAATCATCCCCTCTTTTATCTCCTGAACAATAGTAGACATTATGGTTGCATGGACTGTGGAGCTGGCTTAGCTGGGGAAGGGGGGTCATTGGAAATGTGATCCCCATGGGTAGGCAGAGGGGAGAGGAGAAAGCCTTATTTTCTTGCTTGGGTCAAGGCTTCTTTGGCTGATGGACTGTTAAAGGTGAGAGACAATGGAGAAAAGGTAGGTCCTTTTGGCGGTCCCTGGTCTGGGCGAGCCAGAAACAGTCACCAGACGCTGGCCAGAAAGCCCTCACATGGGCCTGGCATCTGCCCTGTTTCTGGAATTATAAAATGAGGGAGGCAAGCTGTTTTGATGTAGATGATTCTCCAACTGACCCTGAGGATATTTAATAACAAAAACCAATAAACCTAATAATAAAACAAATAATAAAAGGAGAGAGTGGAATTTTGGTTTTGGGGCATGAGGAGATTATGTAGGGAATGCCCAGGGGGCTAGGGCTCCTGACTCAACCCCTGTTTTTATCTGGAAACAGAAAATATCCTCTCTCTTACACATTCCCCCCCCCCCCCCCAAATTCTTAGGGAATCAGAATTCTCTGGTCCACATATGTTATGGCTTAGATGTTCTAACAGACTGGACCTACTCGGTGTTAAGTCATGGAGAAAGGAATTAAAGAGATTAACTTGGGAAACTGGTCCCAGCAAAACAACAGCCCAAAAGGAGAGAAGCAAAGATGTGGGGAATAACAGAAAGGACAGGAGACACAGAGGGAATGAAGAAAAGGAGTTAGTAGCATAGATTGGGGAACAGCTCTGGGAACCTCTATGAAGGATGAAGGGTGGCACTAAGAACAGAGTTTCCCCCAAAGAACTCTGAGGACATTTCACCCAGGATAAGGGTAAAAGGGTTCTGTGTTTAAATAACTTTGGGAAACCTGAATATGGGAGTCCCCTCCAGGAGATCCCCAAGACACACTATAAAAATTAAATGGGAAAGGAAAGAAATAAGGACTCCGGAAATAATCATGTGGAGAAAAATCTGTGACTAGTTGCATTTATTAAACAGAAGCAACCCAAAATCAGAAGATCCCCTCCATTATACCCCATCTCATAAGGAGCCTGCATTGGCTGACCTATGTGGTCCATACTCTAAAAAATTGTCATCCTCTTTGTCAATTATGATGGGTTTGCTGACATCAGTTTAGCTCTACAAAGGTATATGGGACTGTTTAATAAAAGTGTTTCTGAGACCACTATCCAAGAATGACCAGAGTAGAGCATAGAGCCTGGTTTTTGTCAAAGTTGCCCTCCGGCATGTATTGAGCGTTTCAATTTGTGGAGATAAGGAAGGCAAGGAGTTGGATCTCTGGTTCTCTGGACCTCATCTTACAATCCTATTTCTAGAATTTCATCAATTCATTTTAAGAGAACAGCAAACTGGTTGTGGTGGGACTCTCCAGTTGATGTCCTAGATGGTTGTTATACCTGGTTTGGAAAGTGGTCTCCAAAGACATTCTCTATAAATGTTATTGAACTTCTACCCCCACCCTGCCCCCACACTCTGCACTGAAATCTAAAGAGGGCTTTCACGTTGTTATCTGTAGGAATATTCAGGGATGTGGGGAGACTGTTGGGGTGGGGGGTGGGGGTGGGGGCAGGCTCGGTGATGAGGAAACATACCTGATGGAGACAGAGGAGCACTGGGCTAGCCTCCTGCCTGCACTCTTCAGGCCAGTGTAGATCTGCCCCATTTCCATGGCTCCCTCTAGCCCCACCACTTCAAGAAGCTGGTCACTGAGGTCTGTAGAGTGAGACAAGCAGAACCAGTGCATACACATGTCTCTGTTCCCCAGTGTGGTTTGGGCCAGAAGGTCTAGTCCCCAGATGGCCAACCTAGAATTCTCAATATCCCACCAAATTTGGTAGGAGTTTGGTCAGCTCCCACCAAACAGCATTTTCACCCTCATTCTGAATAGGGCATTTCCCCAGAAGTCAATAAATGTACCTTTTCATAAACAGAAACCTGGTTCCAGTGAAAAAAGGTTTTGCTCCAGATTGCATGATCCTGCATGCAACAAATAGGGTGACATATCCAGAAGTTTCTTCAAAAGCAGAGTAATGTAAAAGATGAACCATCTGTTTCTGAAATACACCCCCCCACCCCGCCCCCACCTTGCAGCTAAAGACACACTGGTTTGGGATTAAGATAGGAAGGAATGCTGATAAAGGTCATTAATGCGAGCTGGATCAGGTTTCTCTTCCCTGAATGCCTGAATAACATCTTGGCCCTACTGACGATGACTGATGCTTAATTAACTTCAAATTTGGCCTGCGGTAAGCCAGTGGTGAGCCAACCTCCTTGGACATCCTTGGGGGAAGTCAGTGACCTCTTTCAGGACACCAGGTGCCTAATCTGAGCCAAGGAAAAGAATATTTCACCTACACCAGATTATCCTGGGTCCAAAGTACAAAAAGAGGCACAGAAAATATGAGTCTCAGGCTCAAAGTCACATAGGATCCACGGCCTCCCACAGTGGCAGTTGCTTCTGATTCAGCACCTAGAAGAGATCCTTTCTTTCCAAAGTTCCTGGGACTTGGACTGTGCCTGTCCAACTTCTGGGGAAAGCAATGGCAGGATTAAGGTCTGATGTTGGCCCAAAGACTCATTTTTACAACACAACTTTTACTTAAAACAGAAGCAAAATAAAAAGGCAGATTCTTTAAAAGCTTCCATTCCTCCTTTGCCTACCAAAGCAAGTGTAATTCTCTCATAGTTTGTGGCTAATTACTAAAACCCGACTAATATTCACAAAGTAGAAAACTATTCTATGTTAATGTTTTGCTTCTTTGACAGATGGCTTCTGTCTTCTAAGGTACTGATGCTCAGTCGCTTCAGTTGTGTCTGACTCTTTGTGACCCCATGGACTGTAGCTCGCTAGGCTCCTCTGACTGTGGGATTCTCCAGGCAAGAATACTGCAGCGGGTTGCCATGCCCTCCTCCAGGGAATCTTCTCCACCCAGGGATCTAACCCACATCTCCTGCATCTCCTGCATTACAGATGGATTCCTTACTGCTGAGCCACTGCGGAAGCCCATCTTCTAAGGTGTCTCCTGGTATAATGTGACAGTGTTTATTAAGACTGGCAAGGAGATCTTTGGGTTTGTGTTTAGAAGACTATTTTTTACAAAACATTCTCTTGACAAATATACTTCTTTTTTACATTCATTTCATTCTTTCTACCAGTTTTTATTGAATACAAATTGTGTGCAGGACACTTTTCTAGCTCTTTGGAACTCAGCTTGTAAGAGGTGTAGGAGCTAATATGGGAGGTAAGACATATATACAAATAGTCATGGATATAAATTTAAAATTATAAACAGATCATAGGAAAAATGTTCTGTTAGAATGGAAGCTTGAATGGAAGGAGCTAAATATATCTTTCCCAAAGTTAATGAAATCCTGTATTTGACTTTATGGATATTCTTCTAATGAAGACAAACTGTTGGGCTGCCCACAAATGTGTAAACATTGCTAAAGTTTGCTAACCTACTGATGATCACTGATGAACATCAGCTGCCAACAGATACACAAACTGTTAGTCTCTCTGTGATGGCACAGAGGTTGCCTCCTTTATACCCACTGACACTCCCATTTTTCTTCTCTGGTACTCCTTTTCTTCACCTGTGTGAAAAGATACAGTCTCTTTAAACCCTCTGTCTCATTTGGACTTTAACAAGAAGCCACAAAAGGGCAAAGTTTGTTTAGGAGAATGCTCCAGGCTCTTTTTAAGGAGTTTAGATCCAGTAAACAGCGAATGTCTAAGCCTCCAGTCACTTAATTAATTCCCTTCTTACCCAAGCGTGTTGAATAACCATTGGATAGTTTAGCTTACTGTGTCATTTTACAGTGTCTGTGATATCAAGAAGGGTTGTGAATGAGAGAAGGAGGAGGGGGAGGAAGAATAGAAGAGGGAGGAGGGAGGAGAGAGAGTGGGTTTAGGGGTGAGGAGGGTGGGGGAGTTGTACTGGGGTAGGAAAAAGGAGGACAAAAGAGAGGCAGAAGTTTCTCTGTTGGCAGAGAGACAGATGTCTTTTAAAATGTTGCTCTCTGTACCAGGCTTTGGTGTCTGACAGTGCTGTGATAGTTGAATGTTTTCCCTCCTTGAAACATTCCCTGGTAACAAAATGTTCTAAGAAGCAGGGGACTTAATAGACTCAAGTGTTTCAGCTTTTACAATGTCTTGGTCTTTTAACAAATTTTCCTGTTGAATGGCTTTAACTCGAAAAGTTGTTATCACTTCCCACACATTACCTTGCAGCTATCACTTCCCACACAGTACCTTGCTTCCTGGCTCTAGAAGAGATGTAATACAGGCTGATCTCATCAGTGTGGTGGGTGGGTGGGTGGGTGGGGGGCAGGGGGTTTACACACATGTGGGACTGGGAGGCGGATGGGGGATAAATGTAGGAGAATGGGCAAGGATCTTATACTTTTTGCCACTCTGCCTTTGGCTCTGAATTTTTCCTGGCATGAAGAGGCTAGGATGATTCCTGTCTGCTACTGCAGGACGATTGACTGCTCTTCTGTTTCTCTACCATTGCCTGACTGATCTTTCAACTTAAAATGCCTACCAGGAAGTTCTGAGGTAAAGAAATATATTTAACTCTGCTTCCCAAACCTGCTGGACCATGAGACAGACTCTTCTTTTGTGTGACACCTATAAACAGTTTTGTAGGTATCTATGGTCATTTTCTTTGAAACACATTTTAGTAAATTCTGGTATCACTTAATTCCCTATACTTCCTTTAGCACACAGATACTTGTGCAGAAACTAAATCTGGAGTTTAAAATGAAACAGAAACAGAGTTACAAGTCAATGACCAAGCACACAGAACATTAATGTTCAGAACATAGTATCAAGGACATCTGCTATACCAAGTGTCTGTTTTGTTGCGCTGTGCTTAGTCAAGTCCGACTCTTTGTGACCCCATGGACTGTAGCCCACCAGGCTCCTCTGTCCATGGGGATTCTCCAGGCGAGAATACTGGAGAGGGTTGCCATGAGCTCCTCCAAGGGATCTTCTCAGCGCAGGGATTGAATCTGGGTCTCCCACATTGCAGGTGGATTCTTTACCTTCTGAGCCACCAGGGAAGCCCAAGAATATTGGAGTGGGTAGCTGATCCCTTCTCCAGGGGAACTTCCCATCCCAGGAATCAAACCAGGGTCTCCAGCATTGCAGGCAGATTCTTTACCAACTGAGCTACCCGGCAAGCCCCCTGTTTTACCTCAGGTACAAATGATTCAAAGAGTGGTTTTTAGCAATTCATATCATCTCTATATTGTTTCTATACTCATCAAGTCACTCATATTTAAGATGGAATGTCTGTGTACCTTAGCAAAACAGGAATGCATTAATTCACTCGTTTAACAGTTACTGAGTGACAACCATGTGCCAGACACTGTGTTAAGAACTGGGAATACAAAATGTTCTGCTCTTCAAGGACTCTGAGCCAAGAGGGAGAAAGTGTTAGGTATAGAAAATGTTGTGCATAAACTATAGGAGGAAGGATGCCTGAGTACTGATTCTGGGCAAGGTATGGAAGGAAGGTTCCACAGACTTTAAGGAAGGTCTTGAAGGATGAATGTCAAGATAATTTTCTGGGTTAAGAAGAAAGAAGGATATTTCAGGGAATGGGATGATTATGTGTAGGACTGGATAGTCACTGGATGCACAAGGAAACTAATTTAGCAATAAACTCACTTGGCAGTGTCACTGGAAAATATAAAAAGGTATTTCTATCTAATTAGAATTACTATTTAAAGATTTGTTTTTCTATAAAATTATCAAAAGAGGGTCTCTGGGCTGGGCACCAACTTGTTGTAACCATAGAGCTAGGTCTTTCAGCACTTTTCTTGGTGACAAAGCATTATGCCCAGCTCTATGTGAAGCAAACGCTTACCATATGCTCTCCAAGAAAGAATAAAGATGAAGAATGGGAACATGGGATAGGAGAAAGTGGAAGCAAAGATGGAACCGCATGGGCAGCCACAGTTGTTCCAACCTGGCGCATCTGATTCAGCCTCCAGTATAGGATTTTATAAACGCACAGCTGCTCATGTCACACCCATGGTAAAAACTCTTCAGGGTCACCAGCCATGATACCAGGTGCTGGGAAGGAAAGATGAAATCTGCATTCTTTGACACCTATGATCAGAGTAAAAACTGGAAGAAAAGTTTTTAGAAGTTTGGTAATGAGTCTAAAACTTTCATACTGTTGATTCATTTCTTTCTTGATACTGATCACAAGAACATTGACAAAACCTAAGTCCATATAGCTATGAATATTGTGGCATCATTTATTACAGAGAAACTTCTCCCTCTCCCATTTCTATGTTTATGAAAATGGTTAAATCATATGGTATCATACTATAGAACTTTACACAATTATAATGTTTACAGATTTATATAACACTAAATATGTATATACTATAATTTTAAGTGTGAAGGCAGAATGTAAACTTCTACAGCATGTTCTCAACTATATAAGAACGTGCATAGAAGAAAACAAATTCCCCCAAAATCATAACAGTTGTGAGTTCTGGGTCATTAGATTAAAAGTGATTATTTTCTGCTTGATGCTTTCCTGGTTATTCTGCATTTTCTAAGTATGTATTACTATTTCAATTTAAAAGTCATTTTTAAATGCCTATCAACTGCCATTTATACTTGGAAAGATGTAAGTTTCCTTACTTGATGCCCAAGACCCACCCCCATCTGGCAGAAGGCTGCCTCTGCAGTG